ATGAAAACACTACGCTAAACGAGACCTCTGGTTATTAAAAGAACATTTTACTACTGAGAATAATTCAGTTCGCGTGACTAGACGGAATCACTGTTTTGCCAGCCATTCGACAGTGGAATTCTAATTCAAGTTATTAAGTAGATTTTCGTTCTATGTAGGAATCTCCTGTTCATGGCCACAGTTATACGTCTAAGTGACTGATTCTGGCGACAAGAGAAGCTTTAACGTTTCAGGTAAGCGGGATGAGTGAAATAAAATAATGAAATGTAAGCACATTTGAGGGACGAGCAAAATTCGATAGCGCTGACAAGCAACAAAGGCGGAAAAACTTTACTCATTTCCAAAGTTGTTTAATTGTTGAGAAGATTTTAATTCAATATCCAATAATTTGTGAGCTAGCTATCATTCATAACGAGCAGTCTTGTCCCAAGATTATATACAATGAAACACGTGCGCATTCGAAGAACTGAAAGCGGAAGTCGTGGAATGTGAAATCTAGCCAAACAAAATTAACATTGATCCTACACAAACTCATCAGCGTTTGTTAGGGTACAATTTCATCGCTAGGGGTAGAACCAGTAGTTCAATTAACAGCGAACTTTAGCGAAATCAAATCAACATAAACTCGTGATTTTATCTGCATTTTCACCGGTAAACGCAAAACTTTACTTTACAACAAAAGATGAGGGCCACATAATCTTTCAGATACTCAATTCCTAGATTAATTACAGATTGAGACATATATATGATCTGCTGTTGTAATCTATAACTTCCTTAAACCGGGGAGTATTTACAATTAATCAATAATCAGTATTTACTAGCGAGCAGTAAGTTTAGCAATAACCTGGTGGTAATCATTATTGCTGTCTTTTTGCCTGGCTCAAGTTGTAAACTGAAGGTTTCTCTTGATGCAACTGCGATAAACCCAACCCGAAAAAGCAAATCTTTCTTATGGGTTAACTTATGCGTTTAAATTTTCGATCTCATTGTTGCTTTGGTTGCATCAATATTTTCAAATTAGACTAAGCAAGGCTGTGCTCTAAGGAAAATTCTAGGGAGCCCTTCAGGCACCCAGCTATGTAGGCTAGGGTGCCCAGAAGTCAAGCTTGGTAGCCCAAACGAAAAAAAAAATCAACAATTATTAATTGATTAATTATGATTATCAAATAGCATTATTAATTNTGTAAAGGTTTCTCTTGATGCAACTGCGATAAACCCAACACGAAAAAGCAAATCTTTCTTATGGGTTAACGTATGCGTTTAAATTTTCGATCTCATTGTTGCTTTGTTTGCATCAATATTTTCAAATTAGACTAAGCAAGGCTGTGCTCTAAGAAAAATTATAGGGAGCCCTTCAGGCACCCAGCTAGGCTAGGGTGCCCAGAAGTCAAGCTTGGTAGCCCAAACGAAAAAAAAAATCAACAATTATTAATTGATTAATTATGATTATCAAATAGCATTATTAATTAATATATGATAATCGATTGACACTCAAGTAAAATTGTCTTACATTGTTTCTAGGGCAGTTATCCTATTTACAGATGCCGAAGATAGATTTGTTCCCATGTAATTTTTTTGTTATACCGTTGTCAAGAGTCCACAAAGAAAGACAAAATTAACATGTTTTTTTGAGTTAGAATGGTTGATATATGTAGAAAAATTAAGTCCTTTTCCCCTCTTTACCCTAGCCTGTTGCTTCTGGTAATTCTGTTCACATTCTCCTTCAATTAGGGACTTTTCATGCATATTATACAAATCATAGGAACCAAGAAGATTTTTTGTTGACGCTTTTCGAGTTATACAAGGAAACTGCTGTCCGTATGACT